GGAATTGGATGAGCTTTAAGGTCCCTTCCAACCCAAACCGTTTCATGATTCTATGATATGTTATTAGTAAAATGATGCCAAACTCCAAAGGAGAAATCCAAATTGAGCTGGTATCCATGAGATATAACTGGATAATGTGCACATCTCTTTATAGCTTACAAAGAGAACTGAGAACTGACTTGCTGCCTTGCTATTTTTCTCTCCCACAGTTTTTGGGACTGGGAGAAAGGGGAGAAGCTGGACTATTTCCACAACGGGAACCCTCGGTACACCCGGATCACAGCGATGGAGTACCTGAATGGACAGGACTGCTCCTTGCTGCTGACTGCCACAGGTAGAGAACACATTTTCCCATGTATAAGGGCAGGACTGGGGGGCCTTTGCAGAATTCCAGTCTGGGTGAGCTGTTCTGGATTTGTCCCAGCCTGACCCTTCCCTCCCCTGCACTCACCTGCCTGCTCTCAGCTGAGGAGGCCATTTCCAGGATCAAACCTGAAGGTTGTTTCTGGCAGTCCTGAAATCTCTTAACTAGGTGCTGGAAAGATTTTCAAAGGACTGACAAGTCAAACACTTGAAGTGTTCCATTCCCAGTCCCAGCTTTATTCGTTACCTCATTCTGAATCTTTACCTATCATTGCAAGAGCAGGGTCACCTCCCCCTGTAGAACACCTGGGCAAAGGGGATTTTAGTTCATTAAAGCTGTTGTCCTGAGCTGAAATCATGCAGCAGCCACAATTTAAGAACTCAAATTCTGTTCCCTGTGCTGTTTTCAGTGCAGAGCAGGCGAGGCTCAGCTTAAGCACTGAACTTTTCAGGTAGTTCTGAGTTTCTCTCTAGTCCATCTCTCACCTCAGCAGTTCTCCAGAAGGCCCTGTTGCATCATGTGGGATTGCATGAAGAGCTCTGCCCCATTCTTTGGTCTGTAAAGCTGTGAGTCAGATCAGCTCCTCTCCCAAGGAACCATTCCAAACCTGTCAGTAGGAGTGTTTTCAACAGCTTCTCCAACTTCCCACTGAACTGTGCAGGTTGGGTGTAATTAAGGGAGCTGGAAGAGGAGCTGAGAGGGCCTTTAGGACGTTTTCCTTTCAATTTATTGATTCTTAGCACAAAAGTTTCACAGATGGGGAGAAAATTGAAAAAATACACAATGTTCTTGAAAGATTTGCTGCTGATGGGCTGGGCTTTGGTTCAGCTGCTTCTGTGGGGCTGTTTTGTGTTGAGTGGGTACTTATGTAGCTCTCGGCACCAATAGCGAGGAGGACAGAGATGAATCCTGGAGAAAATGAATGATTGAGGGAAATGGAGAGACATGTAATGTCAGGTGTTATTCAAGGGAAGGAGAAAAGCTCTTCCAGAACAGTTCCAGTAGAACAAAGCTTTAGGTTTCACAGATGTGTGATTAGAGAGGAAAAACAACTCTAACAAAAATAATTAAGTTCAAGTGACACTCTTGAGTTTTGGAGTCTGTGCGACTACGGTTTTGCTTCTCTTCTTCCTCATGCACGAGGAATTGTGAGAGCTGCATCAGCAGTGACATTGCTTTGTGTTCTCTCCCCCTGTGCTCCCCAAGATGATGGTGCCATCAGAGTGTGGAAGAACTTTGCAGACCTGGAGAAGAACCCAGAGATGGTGACGGCCTGGCAGGGGCTGTCGGACATGCTGCCAACCACACGAGGTGGGTCCCCACGGAGTCCTCTTGGGGGGAAGGTAAAAACCAGCCTTTGTACAGCTTTGCATGTTGCACCTGTGATGTCCTTCAATCCGAGCTCCAACTTTGGCACTTGTTCTTCGCTGTTTATTGTGGGTCAGGAGGTGGCAAAGGAAGTGCAGTCTAAATCTGGGACGTGCAGAAGGGCAGCACAGTGAGACATTGGCCTGCTTGGAATGGTATAAAAGTTGGGTAGAGAAGGGTGTAAAAAGGAATACTGGCATCCAGCCACATGTAGGATGAAACCAGAAAATCAGTAACCCTGAAGTCAGTTTTAGGGCGTTACAGGAGGTTTTAGGGCATTACAGGAGGTTTTAGGGCATTACAGGAGGTGGACATTCCGTCCATCCGAGACCTTGTCAGGTACTGATGCTCTAATGGCAATTCTCTGTCACTTGAATATTTTTAATCAAGGCTTCAGGTTTTCCTGTGTGTGCTGTAGTTCAATCAGCACTTTGTGGGATTGATGGAGGAACTGCTGGATGAGGCTCCCTGGCCTGTGCTATGCGGGAGGTCAGATGAGATGACCATCATCATTCATCCTGACCTTAAAAGCTGACAATTCTCATTTCTGAGCTGATGTGGTTCATCCCAGGAGTCTGACACAGCTCTTTTAGCTATTCATTGGATTTTCCTGGTGCTGCCTGGGTGAGCTCCTGTCTGTTATGTTTCCCTTAACTCCTCACAGTTTGTCTCAGGGAAGAGGAGCTGTGTTTGAGGCGAGTCCAGGCTCTGCCTCGCTGAGGGATGTGCTCAGAACTGATTAGGAGCTGCTGAAAGTTCAGAGCCCGCTGTGCAGATCGACGTGGTCCCAACCTGCCCTTTAGAGGTGTCAGCAAGAGCAGGAGGGACACAGTGGGGCTGCACTGGGAGGGAAAGGCCTGGCTCTGCTTGGGCAGAACAGGTCCAAGATCCATCACGAGATGCCCTTTGTAGTGTCACTCTGTATTTGTTTGCCAACACCAGCTTTCCTGCACGTTGGTTAATGTTTCCCATCCCTGGATTCAGGATCTTGCATCTTGGTGCTGGGAATTCCCCCGGACTGCCCTGACTGTCAGCTCTCATGATGTTCAGGGAGGGTGGTGACAGCTGCCCACTGAGCTCCCTCAGCCCCATCCCGTTTTCCTGCCTTCTTTTCCATGTGCACTTTGCATGATTGTCCCTTACCCTGCCCAGGGTTTACCCCCTGAAAGGATTGTCACCATCTGATGCTGCAGAACAGGCTCAGAGCTGAGTGAGCTGGAGAGTTGGGTGGTTGCCTTTACCAGAACAGGAGGGTTTTTGCCTCTTTCTTTCCCTTATGGATGGAAGCAGTCTGGGGCCTGTTTTCTTTGCCTTCCACCTTCGCAGCAGGTTTGGCAGAAGAGAAGGACAGATCCCTTTGTGGAGAGAGAAATAAATGTACCACTTCAAAAGAACTATGTGGAGCAAGTCCCCGTGGAAATGAGACTCTTCACAGTCATCTGGTGCCAAGACCATAGTTGTGGTCCAGCACTGGCTCATAAAACTGAAGATGCATCTTTGAAGCTGCAGAGCTCAGGAGTTTTACAGGAATTTGTTTGCTCCCACTATTGATTTCCTTCCCTCCTCTCCCAGCATTTCCCCTGTGTCATAATGCCACACTCATCTCTGACTTGCTCTTGAGAACAACCAGAACATGACTTTCCTGGGCCATTTTCCCACTTCCAGAAGGCAAGAGGAATATGCCTCTCTTGAGCAGCGTAGGAGGAACATAGACCTGATGTGCTCTGGAGCTGTGCTTTCTCAGCAGGAGACTTTGGGAGTTCTGGCAGTTTCTCTAGAAAAGAGTGTTTGCAGGCTGGGGAGCAGCACAGGGACCTGTAGCCTGGTGTGAGCGTGTTCTCATACAGCAACCTGGGGGGTCTCTGTGACAAAGGGAACAAGCCACAGCTCCACAGTCAGAAAGGCCTTGTCCTTGAAAACAGCACAGTTCTGGAATTTGGAAAAATGCAGAAGTGGGGCCAGCTGGTTCACAGTCATCAAACGTTCCTTGTGTGCTCCCTGCAGATCCTTGTGGTGTTTTCCCTCTCCAGCCAGTAAAGGGAACCAGGATATCACTTCTGAAGGACTTG